TTAATCATTTGTTAATTTTTTCAATTGACTTTAATTAAATTGACACAAATTTTTTGTGTCGATCAAGCCGTCATAAATTTTTTTTTTATAGTCAATTTATTATTGATGTAGCTGACATTAATTTAATGATTTTATTTGTTTAATTTTTTATTCAGTTTGCCTGACACTAATTCAATACTAACATAATAATTTTATTTTTTAATTTTTCATTGTCGATCGAGTTAATACTATGTTGACACTAGCTTAATAATTTTATGTATTTTAATATTTTATTGCTGACCTAGCCAACACAATTTTTTTTAATATTCTTTTTTTGACTTACTATTTATTTGTTTGCATTTTTTAGCTTACCATTTATTCACCGAAACTTAGCATTGTTGAGACTCAATCCTAAGCCTTCAGTGCGTTAAACTAACTTGGTAACCAATTGCACCACAACACATTACGCTTATATAAGATTGGACAAAATTATCTATATCTGTCTCAAAGCATGTATAGTGTCAAAGAAGTTGATATAATTCTTTAGATATAGCGTCGACTTTTTCAACACTAAACTTAATTTAAATTTAGTGTCAAAAAAGTCGATGATATTCTTTAAATATAACGTCAATTTTTCTAACATTAAACTTAATTTAAGTTAATGTCAGAAAAACCAACGCTATATATAAAGAAATAACTTCGTCTTTTTCAGCACTAATTAACTTAAATTAAGTTTAGTATTGAAAAAGTAGACACTATATTTTAGATATAGTGTCAGCTTTTCTGACACTAACATAAATTAAGTTTATTGGTGTCAGAAAAGTCGATACTATATTTAAAGAATATCGTCAACTTTTTCAACACTAAGCTCAATTTACATTTAGTGTTAGAAAAGTCAATGTTACATCTTAGATTGACTGACAATATTTGTATCAGCTATTGGTCAATACTTATTTTTCGTAGATATTTCAACGTTTTCTTGTAATGTATCATACATATAAAATTATAATATGATTATAAATTTCTATTATTTATATTATTAACTTTTTATGTATTATCTCATTAAAGAGTAAAATATATTTTTGGTATTTATATAATTTTTCAAGTTTAGTTTTAGTTCTTAAATTTTTTTATCCTATTTTGAATCTTCTAATTTGAAAATATACCACTTAACCCTCTAAATTATTTATATAATACTTTATAATAAATAATAATATAAAAGTTAATCAATACTTTATTATGCTTATCAAAAAATATATAAAGACTCATATTTATTATTTTACTTAATACTTATAAAATGACACCTTCATATATATAATATTTCTTCAAAAATTGTTACTCAACTTTCAAAATTATACATTTGGTCACTTAATTTCAAATATTTGCATACTTTATTACTCAATAATTGATCTTGACATTGTATATTATTATTGACGTGACATATTAAATAAGTATGTGATAAATTAAATACTAACATATCAATATATCATATTATATAAAATCATTATATGTATATAACATCATTAATCATTTTTCAGCAATCAAATAATGACATTAAATGATGAAGTGGAGGTGACAAAATTTTAAAATTTTAAAATTTAAATAATAAAATATACAATTTTAAAAATTTGATGATAAAATTCATCGAAATATAAAAATATAAGTGAAAAAAATGAGGCATTATACATGTACGCTAATTAAAACGCTCACATGCATATGTTGAATTACTTTGAATTTCAGCCGAAAGTGTGTCATCATCTCGTACCAAAAATCATTTTGGGGATGCAGACTGCAGAGTCATGAGAAACCACGTGGTTCTACACACACAAATATGGAAACGGGTGATCTAACTTTTATTTGATCACACACATGTATTATATATTTGTGTAAACCATATTGGTATTTGTCGTTTGCATATTGTAGGTTTCATTCAGCGGCCATTAATTAGCATACATTAAATCATTAATGAAGCCAATCCCTAATTACCTACAGTTCCAAAATTAATTCACCTTTCACTAATTACAATACTAGAATTTCTCTTATTACATAAAATTTTTTCAGTAAATTTTTATGAAAAATTTGCAGGAAACATTGTTCTTATAAAATTTTCTATTTCCATGCCTCCAAATAATATTTTAAATTCTAAGATTGTAGATTATAAGCCTAACACTTAACTATACAAATTAACTTACAAGGTAAGTGTTGCCTCAACTTATATACTCTTTAATTGTTTTATTTTCAATCAATGTGGGACTTGAAGTTTTTTTAAAATATTAAACTTATAAATTTAAATATATATATTTTTTATTTTTTCTGTGAAATAAAATTTGCAGGAAAATTCGCAGGAAAAGTTACTTGCAAAATTTTTCTACCATATATTAATTGCGAATTTATTTTTGCAAGAAAATCTGTAAGAAACAAAATAAAATTCTTACAATATTTTCTACAAATTTTTATCATGGAAAAAAATTTCTATGATTATTAAAATTGTAGCAAAATTTGTAAGAAATATCTGTAAATTATTTTTCGTAAATAAATTCGCAAAAATCTCTGCGAGGATTTTTTTGCATGAAAATTCGCAAAAACATTCTGTGAACATTTTTTGCGAGAAAATTTGCAAAAAATTTATGTAAATATTTTTTTGCAGAAAAATTCGTAAGAAAATGACACTTTTTTAGTAGTGCCATCAACTTAAGTTGGATCTGTAGTGAAAAGCTACTGATACATTCTTGTACGTATTGAAAATCATCCAATTTTGTAGACATCTTATTTAATTATTATCTTTCAATAGTTTTGTATTTCTTCTAATTCTTTTGTAAGACCCAAATTAAAATTTTGTTATTAATAAAAAAAATTAGAAGTATCGTTTTCTTTTATAGAATAATTAAAAATATATCTTGTATTTTTTTTAAATATCCTTAATTAAAGTTATTTGACTTAAATCAATAAATAATTTGTGGAATAAGTGTCTCGTTAATATATTATGGATAGTTTTAAAAAAGATTATAAATTTAGAACAAATTTCATATTATCAATTATTTTTTTCCATACTATATGTGTTGTTCTAGTATTTTTACTTGGACAAAAAAAACAAATACGTAAATAATTTTATAAAATTAATCATTATTAATTTTTTTGTCAAAAACAAAAAATTATAACTAATGTTTTTTTAAAAAATTATTAGGAGCAGGGATGAATAATATGAACTAAACTAAACTTATTAAAAGTGCATTGAATTGGAAGAAAAATTGCCCGAAGTAAACTGAATTTTTTTTTTCACTCAACTGAATGAAATTTTACTTTAGAAGTTTGCATTGAATTTCAATTCGAATTTGACCAAATTATTTTGATACTTTGAATTGAATTATTTTAACATGTTGATCTATTAAGATAGACTAAATTTTTTCATTTTACTTTTTATTTTTATTTAAATTTTACAAAAATATATTAAAAAAATATCGAATCAAATAGATCCGATAGGCTTTTAAGTCTAAAAATTAGTGATTTGATGTGCTTTAGTTGGCTTGTCAATCTCGATCAAATTAACACATTTTTTGGTCACTTCTTTCAAAGTTTGGACCGCTAGGCCATCAATGCAACCCATGAGACAAACAGTTTTTGACTTTGTAATAATTAACCCAAAGACACTAAAATGAGAGAGATAAAAGTTTCGCACATTTGTGAGATTGTTTATATGGAATAACTTAAAGGAATTGATATGTAATACTTGTACCAATAAGATGTACTTATTTTTAGATAGTTTATCGTATCAGAATTCTAAAGTTAATCATGCTTTGCTTGAAACAATTTAAGAAAAGATGACCTTCAAAGAAGTTTCTCGAAAATCATGTAAGTAAAGACAAAATACTTTGAAAAATCTTGTGTTGATTGTTGAGGTCAGTCATTGATTTTAAAGATGAAAATCTCAAAAAAGACTGTTCACAAAAGATTTGATCGGTGAAGGGTTCTGACTAACAAAAAATTTGTGCGAAGTGTTGTGGAGTGGGGTCGTCGAGACATTAATTCTAAGAGATGTTACAATTATCCTCTAACTTTTACCCTTTTATAAAAATAACTCAATTTTACAAAATTTAATTTTTTTAGTAATAGAATAATTTATTTTTCTATGAGAATAATTCAATTTTTATAGTTCAATTCAATTCAACTTAGTTTTTTTGTTCACTCCTAGACTTCAAGAAAATTAACTAGTAATCATATATGTAAATTATTACTAAAAATTAAAAATTTGTAAGAATATCTATTTCAAATTTACTCATGAATCATCCATTATATGAGTTGTATAATAATGATTTTATAAGTTTTATTTATAATAAATAATTATAAATATAAATATTTAAATTTTACCTATACTAAATATTTATAAGTAGAAGTAGTTTTTATTTTTACTTATATACATCATGTCTCTAAAAATAAAACATAAGTAGGTAAATGACGTTTTCTTTTTCCTTGTTGTGCTAATTTAAGGGTATACATTAAAAAAAGTAACTAATATCACATGCATTGAAAAGCTAACACTTTCCGTGAAACTTTTTTTTTCCCCTTACATGACACTTATCATTAGATAGAGACATTAAATTAGTCAACTTTCTCAATCTTAATGAATTAGATAACTCTTACTCCTCTTATTTTATAATAAGTGTCATGTAATAATTTTTTTTTTGTTATTTTAGCTTTTTAATGTAACATTTTTATTTTCCTATTTATACCATTAATATTATTTTTAAATATTGATGTTGTATTGCATCATTTCTTGTAGAAAATAAAATAATAATAGAGTTAATTTTATAAAATTATCATTATTTTTCATCTTTTTATTACTTTTTTGTTTGTATAAAAAACTTAAAATGACACTTATAATAAAAAAATAGTACAAATAATTTGAAAAGTGGAATTTTTAATACTTTAGCTAATAATAAAGAGAATAGTATTAAGATTATGTGACCAACACTCCACATCACAATCCATATTGACATTCCCTATATATATAACCACCCAAGGCATAGCTTCAAAATCATCACCTCCACACCCAAACTCACTCTTCAAGTGCAAATCATTTCCTCCTCCAACTCTTCCAAACCATGGCTAGCCCCCTACTTGTGAAGGTTACTTTCTTGGTTGTGATGTGTTCTGTTTTGAGCATTCCATTGGGGGATGCTGCTCTTTCATGTCCCCAGTTGCAATTCACTGTGGCACCATGCCTCGGGTATCTGAGGGGCCCTGGTGCAGCAGTCCCTGCTGCACCATGTTGCAATGCGGTTCGAACCATAAACAACCAAGCCAGGACCACCCCGGATCGTCAAGGGGCTTGTAGGTGTCTCAAATCCGTAGCTCAAAACTTACCTGGACTCAATCTTGCAACCCTTGCTGCCCTACCTGCCAAGTGTGGGGTCAACTTGCCCTTCAGGGTTACCCCTTCCATCGACTGCAACAAGTAACTTCATCATCACTTAAAAAATATATGTTTTTACTTTCTCAAGTTTAGAATTAAATTTATTTTTATCTCTCGTATTTAAAATTATTATTTTTAGTTCATATAATTTCAAAAAATTTCATTTTAATTTTTATATTCAAATTTTGTTAAAAAATTTATTAAATATTATTATATGAAATCTATCTACTAATATCCTTAGTAGTAAAAATATTATATTAAATTCAATTAATATTATTTAACTGTCTTAATTTATCACTTTCAGATATGTTATTGATAATCCAAGGGACTAAAACAAAATTTTTAAAAAAAATTAAAAATTAAAAATAATAATTTTAAAATTAAGAAACTAAAAACAAATTTATTTTAAATTTAAGAGATTAAAAACATATTTAAGTCCTTCATCATTTATCATCCTCTTTAATTATATAACTATATATTATATATAAATAAGTCATTCATCGTAGTGAAACTAGATTCATCTTTGTTAGTAAAGTTGTCCTAAAAAAAAGTGATTAAGAGAGAAAATTCAATCCATTAAAAGTGATAAGATAGAATTTTTAACAAAAATTAATCACCGACAATATTAGTAAATAATTTGGTTATCAAATGATTCGAAATTAATTAATGTTGTTTATTACTTTTGTATGTTGTTACTTCATATTTGAACTTTTCATGCATATAAGTAATGTGTTAAGTTTAAGATATTATTACAAGGGCACTGACATCAAATTCACTTTGTTCATTGCAGGGTAAAGTAAGCAGCTTAATTTCTCGAGGGTTTACGCTTGTTGATCTCTCAGTACTTGGTTTGTGGTAATAAGTAGCCGAGGGTGAATAAAGAGGATGGTTTAATTTCCCCGGTTGTTTGCATCCCCACTAGGGGGTGTTTATGTGTGATCATGATTTTCATCTCCAATAATAAATATTGCATTAATGTTGATTGTTCATGTGAGAATACATTTCTTATCTCTTATTTGATTCTCTCTCTTAACCAATATATATACATATATATATATATATATATATAAGTAAAAATAATTAATTTTACATAGATTAAAAAAATCATTAAATTAGTATAAAAAATATTATTAAATATATATAATTTTTACAATTTTATATAAATTATACATTATATTTCTTAAAATATCTTTATACTATATCATGATAAATGGTTTTTTTTTTATTACTATAAAAAATATTTTTTAATTAAAAATATTAAGTATTTTTTATTATATATAGGTTTAATGAGAGTATACATTAATCCCTCATCATTCTCTTACTCTTATATATTAACTAATTACAGTAATCAATAATCAACAACATTTACGATTAATTTAAGAAAATATTTCTCCATACAGTTTAAACTTATGCACTTACCAACATTACATTGGTTTAAGTGAAACTAAATTATAAGTTATTAGGTATAAATATTATGGATAATAAAACGAAAAAGTTGAAAGGAGATACATCATTATTAACTTTTTGTTTGATTGGTGAGAAATATGAAAGAAATGAGAAGGAGAAAATGAGAATGAATTTAATTAGTGTTTGGTAGATATGAAATTAGTTGATGAAAAATAAAAACTGGTAGATTATTTCTACTCTTAACATTATGGAAATAGACATCAGTGTTGCAATTTGTGAGGGTTTACTGCCTACAATTTTAAACACCCAGAAAATACTTTTATTTTTTTAAAATTTTAAAAAAAATTAAAAATTAAAAATAATAATTTTAAAATTAAGAAACTAAAAACAAATTTATTTTAAATTTAAGAGATTAAAAACATATTTAAGTCCTTCATCATTTATCATCCTCTTTAATTATATAACTATATATTATATATAAATAAGTCATTCATCGTAGTGAAACTAGATTCATCTTTGTTAGTAAAGTTGTCCTAAAAAAAAGTGATTAAGAGAGAAAATTCAATCCATTAAAAGTGATAAGATAGAATTTTTAACAAAAATTAATCACCGACAATATTAGTAAATAATTTGGTTATCAAATGATTCGAAATTAATTAATGTTGTTTATTACTTTTGTATGTTGTTACTTCATATTTGAACTTTTCATGCATATAAGTAATGTGTTAAGTTTAAGATATTATTACAAGGGCACTGACATCAAATTCACTTTGTTCATTGCAGGGTAAAGTAAGCAGCTTAATTTCTCGAGGGTTTACGCTTGTTGATCTCTCAGTACTTGGTTTGTGGTAATAAGTAGCCGAGGGTGAATAAAGAGGATGGTTTAATTTCCCCGGTTGTTTGCATCCCCACTAGGGGGTGTTTATGTGTGATCATGATTTTCATCTCCAATAATAAATATTGCATTAATGTTGATTGTTCATGTGAGAATACATTTCTTATCTCTTATTTGATTCTCTCTCTTAACCAATATATATACATATATATATATATATATATAAGTAAAAATAATTAATTTTACATAGATTAAAAAAATCATTAAATTAGTATAAAAAATATTATTAAATATATATAATTTTTACAATTTTATATAAATTATACATTATATTTCTTAAAATATCTTTATACTATATCATGATAAATGGTTTTTTTTTTATTACTATAAAAAATATTTTTTAATTAAAAATATTAAGTATTTTTTATTATATATAGGTTTAATGAGAGTATACATTAATCCCTCATCATTCTCTTACTCTTATATATTAACTAATTACAGTAATCAATAATCAACAACATTTACGATTAATTTAAGAAAATATTTCTCCATACAGTTTAAACTTATGCACTTACCAACATTACATTGGTTTAAGTGAAACTAAATTATAAGTTATTAGGTATAAATATTATGGATAATAAAACGAAAAAGTTGAAAGGAGATACATCATTATTAACTTTTTGTTTGATTGGTGAGAAATATGAAAGAAATGAGAAGGAGAAAATGAGAATGAATTTAATTAGTGTTTGGTAGATATGAAATTAGTTGATGAAAAATAAAAACTGGTAGATTATTTCTACTCTTAACATTATGGAAATAGACATCAGTGTTGCAATTTGTGAGGGTTTACTGCCTACAATTTTAAACACCCAGAAAATACTTTTATTTTTTTAAAAAAAAATTCTTGCAAATTTTAAGTGACCATAATTTTATTTTATATTTTGTTAATAAATACTGCCAGCCTGTTAGGAAATCGCCACAAACTCAATTAAAAAAAAAATTGTAACCAATTGAAAATTGTCGAAATGGATTTTTTTCTAGATAATAACGGTACTCATATGAAGTCTTTACCGTTAAAAATAGTAATTAATTTCTATTTTAAACACATATAAAATGAGAATTTCCTTTTAAATATAATCTATTTTATACGTAGAATTCAAATTTTAGACGTTACAGAAAATATAAATTATACACTAAGTTTTATCATAAAAATATTATAATCCTATTTATTTATTTTATGTTTCTCACTTCGCTACACTACAACAAAATTTATTATTAGTGACAATTATTTAATGACAATAATTTAATTTTCGCCATATGTAAAAATATTAATGGCTAATATATAATAGCCACTAAAAATGTATTTCTATTACACTAAAGTTTATTATTAACGATAATTATTTATTAAAAAAAACTTAAATCTCACATTGATTAGAGATAAGATAATTAAATAGTATATAAGTGAGTAATAACTATCACCTTACAAGTTCATTTTATAGGATTGACTCCTAATTCACTATTCTAAATTGGTATCAAATCACTCATTGTTACCAAGTTCAACAGTGCTATAAAACAATTAGTGAGCAACTTTCACCTTATAAATCTCACATCTCTTAAAAAACAAGACAATTAAAAAAATAAATTAAAAAATATATAAATAAAAGACAACTCTCATCTTACAAATCCCACATCGAGTAGAGATAGAAAAGTATATAAGTTATGAATTTAGAAAATAAAATTATTAGACAATTATTTATTAAAAAAAACTTAAATCCCACATTGATTAGAGATAAGATAATTAAATAGTATATAAGTGAGTAATAACTATCACCTTACAAGTTCATTTTATAGGATTGACTCCTAATTCACTATTCTAAATTGGTATCAAATCACTCATTGTTACCAAGTTCAACAGTGCTATAAAACAATTAGAGAGCAACTTTTACCCTATAAATCTCACATCTCTTAAAAGACAAGACAATTAAAAAAATAAATTAAAAAATATATAAATAAAAGACAACTCTCATCTTACAAATCTCACATCGAGTAGAGATAGAAAAGTATATAAGTTATGAATTTAGAAAATAAAATTATAGGAATAAATTATTTAAAGTAAATGAGACAATTAAAAAAAATAACTTTTAATAGCATTTAAAATGGCTACTAAAATTGCCACTAAAAAAAATAAGTTTTTTCGACAATTTAGTAGATTTTTACCGGCATTTATATAAAATGCTGGTAATAGTATTAGAGACACTGGATACACCAGCCATTAGTTAAATGCTGGTAAAAAAAATAATAACCATTTATATGACTGCTAAATAATAAATTAATTGCCACAAAAAACTAATTTTGATGTAGTGCTACTTTTAAATCAAACAATCAATACGTATAAAAAATAATTAATTTTTATTCTATTTCTTATTTATTAAAGTTTCTCATTTCTCATTTCTCTATTCTATTTCTCATGTCTTTCTTTCTTTTTTATCAAACAAATTTTAAAAGTGATCGGTCAAATTATTTGACAAAAATTATTCATTAATGTAACAGATAAATATTTCATCCAAAAACTTATCATGCACTTATTAGAAATAAATATAATTAAAAACTAAAAAAACGATATGACAGAAAATATATTTTAAAAGTATTCGTTTAACTAAAAAGAGAGAATATTTTTCGCCTAAAAATAAAAGATTTAAATTTTTTTTTTAGATTTTATAATTTCATTGAGTTTTTCTTTCAGTTTCTATAACTTAAAATAAATATTTTTAATAATTATACTTGTTATAAAAGAGAGAAAAAGTTGAGAGAATAAACAAGATAATAAGAGATATAGAAAAGAATCTGACTGATGTATTATTTTTGGGAGATGAGTAACCTATTTATAAATACATGTGGTAACTGAACAATTAGTAGCTGACATTAATTTAATGATTTTATTTGTTTAATTTTTTATTCAGTTTGCCTGACACTAATTCAATACTAACATAATAATTTTATTTTTTAATTTTTCATTGTCGATCGAGTTAATACTATGTTGACACTAGCTTAATAATTTTATGTATTTTAATATTTTATTGCTGACCTAGCCAACACAATTTTTTTTAATATTCTTTTTTTGACTTACTATTTATTTGTTTGCATTTTTTAGCTTACCATTTATTCACCGAAACTTAGCATTGTTGAGACTCAATCCTAAGCCTTCAGTGCGTTAAACTAACTTGGTAACCAATTGCACCACAACACATTACGCTTATATAAGATTGGACAAAATTATCTATATCTGTCTCAAAGCATGTATAGTGTCAAAGAAGTTGATATAATTCTTTAGATATAGCGTCGACTTTTTCAACACTAAACTTAATTTAAATTTAGTGTCAAAAAAGTCGATGATATTCTTTAAATATAACGTCAATTTTTCTAACATTAAACTTAATTTAAGTTAATGTCAGAAAAACCAACGCTATATATAAAGAAATAACTTCGTCTTTTTCAGCACTAATTAACTTAAATTAAGTTTAGTATTGAAAAAGTAGACACTATATTTTAGATATAGTGTCAGCTTTTCTGACACTAACATAAATTAAGTTTATTGGTGTCAGAAAAGTCGATACTATATTTAAAGAATATCGTCAACTTTTTCAACACTAAGCTCAATTTACATTTAGTGTTAGAAAAGTCAATGTTACATCTTAGATTGACTGACAATATTTGTATCAGCTATTGGTCAATACTTATTTTTCGTAG